CTGGCTTGGTTCTTGATTGACCGGTTTCCGGGCGCGCGTGGGAGGGCCTCCCGACCCCCCGCTGTCGAGTTAATTAAATAAAGTGAAGAAGAAATCCGCTAGGGCGCCTCCGCCAGGTCTCGAAGACCTTGCTAAGGCGCCCAGGCAGGGGAGGTTTCTTCATTCACCCCTTCCCCTACACGGAGCTTTTCTTTATTACATCAACCCGACGTGCGGTACGCTTGCATGGTATACCTGCTAGCACGACAAACTTCTTTTCCCGTCCGATCCGGGGATCGAACTCGGTACCTTTGGGGTACGAAGCCATCACGCTAACCGTTATGCCACACAACCGGTACCAAACCCGCATTTTTTTCGTGCATATGACTTGTTAAATCATCGCCGGTTTAATTATTTTCTCGCTTATCTATATCGAATTTATATAAGCCAGTTTGTGGCGATTTTTCGGTGTGGTCAGCATGGAGTAGCGAGATAAGAGGTGTGAACGGGACAGTAGATTGGAAGGATATGGTAGCAGGTTCGAGACGCTGGTAAGATAAAAAAATCGAGGTAAGCAAATACGTTGTAAAATTGTAGGGAAGGTTCTCCGATCCCAACATCGTACGTCAGGGTTACATGACGTTCGGGAGTTACCCTCAAGGATTTGGGGTTGCTTAAACCACTGGTATATGGTAAGGTAACCGTATGTGCTGGGGGGTTAAAAAACCCTTAACATCCGGGTTTGAATAATCTAATAAATATGTTAAATTAAATTAAAAAAATGTATCAAAAAAAAGGTAAGACAAAAAAGTGGTAACAATAAAAAAAATTAAGTATAATGTAATGTATTAATTTAATATGAACTAATTATTATGCAGTCTAAATTAATTAAAGGGCTCATTTTTCTTAAAATTTCAAAGTATATAGAAAAAAGAAAAAAATGGTAAAGATTTAGGGAAATATTTTTTCTAAGTTAAGTAAAACTAACTGATATGTGTTATAGATATTAATTATGCAAGTAAAGCAGTTGAAATGAATCACTGTGAATTGAATTAATTAATTTAATTATAAACAAAATTGCAAATACAATCTTAGACTATATATATACTTAGACTATATATATCTTAGACTATATATATATATATATATATATAAATATATATATATATATAGATAATTAGTCTATACTATACGTCTATAATAGTCTCATAATAAAGTGCTCTTATTTATTAAAGTTTAAAAAAGCAGTTGAAATAAATCACTGTGTAATTAATTAATTTAATTATAAACAAAATTGCATACCCCTTAGACTATATATATACTATATATATATATATATATATATATATATATATATATATAGTCTATAATATACGTCTATAATAGTCTCATAATAAAGTGCTCATATTTATTAAAGTTTAAAAAAAAGAAAAAAATTGTAAGACCTAAAGAAATATATTTTGCTCAGTTAACATAACTGACACGAGTTATACATACACGTTAGAGTTGTTGAAATGAAAATTAGTCTTTGGGCCATTAAATAATTGTAGGTAAAATTGCAAAGACAATCTAATAAAGTGCTCATATCGTATAATACAATAATTTCAACATATTAGGAGCTTAATTCAAACTAAAACTTAAAAGATTTCCACTTTGTGGATTTCTAAACTGAACTTCAAATTTAAAATTGATAAAAATTAAATTAAACACTTACTGATAAAGTTAAATAATTTTATTTGATGACATTACACAAATCATTACATTACAAATATTAATTATATTATTATAACTAATACTCTTACTACAATCAATAGAACAGGCATTTCTAATTAACAATTTTTACTTATTACAAAGGATAATTACAATGTATTTTTGACTAATGAATAAAAAATTACATGATCAAACGAATTAATGTGTTTGTATCTCCAGCAAATGATCGAGTGCCTGAGGACTCGCAATAAAAGAAAACAATTATGGTATGAATAAAACAACAAATTTAAAATGATAACAATAATTGTATTCAATATTTAGATAAATGTATTACAAACATTTAAGTTCTTGACATTGACTTCAACTTCCCAATGCAACACAGCAGAATCTTGACAAGTGAGATTTGGGACAGCACGATCAATCGAACCATCATCCTGGTGCATGGCCAGCAGACAGTCAGCAGCAAAAACCACTTGCAGATTATTTTCGGGATGAGTGTTCCACCTTTCCATGATAAAGTTTCGGAGCAGTCAAATTAGCAATTGAATACTGCTACTGAAAGATTTATAAATATTGTAATAAAACAATATTGTATTAGGTACTAAATAATTAAAATACTATAAACTAAATATTGATGTCTATTTCAACAAAACATTAGTCAACAATTCACATAAAAACATTTCAAAGGGCAAGAAACCAGAGGTTCCAAGTATGGACCAGGGGTTTCAAGTATGGACCACGGGGTTCCAAGTATGGACCACGGGGTTCCAAGTATAGGCCACGGGGTTCCAAGTATAGGCCACGGGGTTCCAAGCAGAGACCACGGGGTTCCAAGCAGAGACCACGGGGTTCCAAGCAGAGAACACGGGGTTCCAAGCAGAGAACAGGCTGCAGGCCATTCGAGCAAGATATTCGGGTAGGATGAACCAGAGTGTAAATCATTCAAAGAAAAAGTAAAAGAAAAGTCTGAAGTTATGTCAAATACTCTTATGAAACTGATCAAGAAATTAGTATTATATACTCGTATATTATATATAATAAGTATAAAAATATTCTAATACTTATATTTGTTTGCACAACAAATGTTTTAATATCCAAAGTGCTGTATTCGCAATCTTCACAATAGAGCCACTCGGTTGCTGTTTACTTCACATTGTCTTGATTTATCAGAACTGACGTATGACATTCTTTTATTATACCTATAAAATTAAAATAGTTTTAAATATTTATGTAATGTAACATATTTTATAAGTAAAGAATTAATGGAAATTAAAACAACAAATTGAACAAGATAATGTATTTATTCAATAATTAGATGAATATATTACAAGTATTCAAGTCATAACCATTGATTGAACGCACAAATGAACTTTGCACTTCCCAATGCAAACACATCAGCATGTAATTATCTTCTCTAGGGACACCATTGAGTTAATGTTGTTTGTGACAGCAAGATAGGTCCAATGCAGACAGGTGTGTGAGCATCCTGATCATTGATCAGTCATTGATTGCCCTGTAAACAAAAGCACCCAATTAATAGTAATTCAGACTACTATAATACATTATAAAGAGTAACTCACCAAGTGTTTTCTTCAGAGCAGTTTCACTAAGTCTTCCCGAAGTAAACTGCAAAGTGCATAATTTATAAGAATTAGTGTTCGAACTTAAGCATGAAGACATATTGCCTATTGGGAGATTTAAATCTGGAACAGAAAGCAGAAGGTTAGAATACATTATGATTACTACTATTATATAAACATAATTATTAATATTATGGGCATTAAAATATGGCTCTAGACAAAACAAGCAAACCGGCGAGGACATTCAATAAGGCATTGGAGGACAAAGACGAAGAGGCAAAGACCCTGGGAATTGGGCAAAGCAACCAAGACGCAGAGGCAAACGTTATGGGCATTAAAATATGGCTTTAGACAAAACAAGCAAACCGGGGAGGACATTCAATAGGCTTTGGAGGACAGAGACGAAGAGGTAAAGACCCTGGGAATTGGACAAAGCAACCAAGACGCGGAGGCAAACATTATGGGCATTAAAATATGGCTCTAGACAAAACAAGCAAACCGGGGAGGACATTCAATAGGCTTTGGAGGACAGAGACGAAGAGGCAAAGACCCTGGGAATTGGACAAAGCAACCAAGACGCGGAGGCAAACATTATGGGCATTAAAATATGGCTCTAGACAAAACAAGCAAACCGGGGAGGACATTCAATAGGCTTTGGAGGACAGAGACGAAGAGGCAAAGACCCTGGGAATTGGACAAAGCAACCAAGACGCGGAGGCAAACATTATGGGCATTAAAATATGGCTCTAGACAAAACAAGCAAACCGGGGAGGCAAAAATGCACGGCATTAGATAAGGCATTGGAGGACAAAGACGAGAAGGCAAAAATTTGGCAATTCGACAAAGCAACCAAGACGGGAGGCAAACATAATGGGCAATAAAATAAGGCTCTAGACAAAGTAACCAATATAGAAAGGCAAGTATTCTGAGCATTGTTCAAGGCAACAAAATCGGGGAGGCAAACATCCTGAGCAATCAAAGATGCAATCAAGGCAATCGAGACTTTCTTCACATTGAAGTCCATTGATTGTTTTTTGCAGGGTCGCATGAACTTATACGCATTCTTGAAGCTTCTACGGGGCATTAATACTTGAATCGGTCTCTGACGAAGAAGTCGATGTGGTGTTCGGTGCGTTGATGGTGGAATTGGAAGAATCTGAAAAAAAAAAATTCATGTTAGCGATGCAGACATTATTGTTGTCATAGACAGATACATACTGTATTATTAGAGAGAGAAGTCCCAGATGAATAGGTCGATGTGGTGTCTATTCGGTGCGTTGATGGTGGAATTGGAAGAATCTGAAAAAAAAATTCATGTTAGCGATGCAGACATTATTGTTATAGACATACTGTATTATTAGAGAAAGAAGTCCCCGATGAAGAGGTTGATGTGGTGTCTATTCGGTGCGTTGATGGTGGAATTGGAAGAATCTGAAAAAAAAAAAATTCATGTTAGCGATGCAGACATTATTGTTGTCATAGACAGATACATACTGTATTATTAGAGAGAGAAGTCCCAGATGAATAGGTCGATGTGGTGTCTATTCGGTGCGTTGATGGTGGAATTGGAAGAATCTGAAAAAAAAAATTCATGTTAGCGATGCAGACATTATTGTTATAGACATACTGTATTATTAGAGAAAGAAGTCCCCGATGAAGAGGTTGATGTGGTGTCTATTCGGTGCGTTGATGGTGGAATTGGAAGAATCTGAAAAAAAAAAATTCATGTTAGCGACGCAGACATTATTGTTGTCATAGACAGATACATACTGTATTATTAGAGAGAGAAGTCCCAGATGAATAGGTCGATGTGGTGTCTATTCGGTGCGTTGATGGTGGAATTGGAAGAATCTGAAAAAAAAAAAATTCATGTTAGCGATGCAGACATTATTGTTATAGACATACTGTATTATTAGAGAAAGAAGTCCGCGATGAAGAGGTTGATGTGGTGTCTATTCGGTGCGTTGATGGTGGAATTGGAAGAATCTGAAAAAAAAAATTCATGTTAGCGACGCAGACATTATTGTTGTCATAGACAGATACATACTGTATTATTAGAGAGAGAAGTCCCAGATGAATAGGTCGATGTGGTGTCTATTCGGTGCGTTGATGGTGGAATTGGAAGAATCTGAAAAAAAAAAATTCATGTTAGCAATGCAGACATTATTGTTGTCATAGACAGATACATACTGTATTATTAGAGAGAGAAGTCCCAGATGAATAGGTCGATGTGGTGTCTATTCGGTGCGTTGATGGTGGAATTGGAAGAATCTGAAAAAAAAAAAATTCATGTTAGCGATGCAGACATTATTGTTGTCATAGACAGATACATACTGTATTATTAGAGAGAGAAGTCCCAGATGAATAGGTCGATGTGGTGTCTATTCGGTGCGTTGATGGTGGAATTGGAAGAATCTGAAAAAAAAAATTCATGTTAGCGATGCAGACATTATTGTTATAGACATACTGTATTATTAGAGAAAGAAGTCCCGATGAATAGGTTGATGTGGTGTCTATTCGGTGCGTTGATGGTGGAATTGGAAGAATCTGAAAAAAAAAATTCATGTTAGCGATGCAGACATTATTGTTGTCATAGACATACATACTGTATTATTAGAGAGAGAAGTCCCAGATGAATAGGTCGATGTGGTGTCTATTCGGTGCGTTGATGGTGGAATTGGAAGAATCTGAAAAAAAAAATTCATGTTAGCGATGCAGACATTATTGTTGTATAGACAGATACATACTGTATTATTAGAGAGAGAAGTCCCGATGAAGAGGTCGATGTGGTGTCTATTCGGTGCGTTGATGGTGGAATTGGAAGAATCTGAAAAAAAAAATTCATGTTAGCGACGCAGACATTATTGTTCATAGACATACTGTATTATTAGAGAAGAAAGTCGATGTGGTGTCTATTCGGTGCGTTGATGGTGGAATTGGAAGAATCTGAAAAAAAAAAAATTCATGTTAGCGATGCAGACATTATTGTTGTCATAGACAGATACATACTGTATTATTAGAGAGAGAAGTCCCAGATAAATAGGTCGATGTGGTGTCTATTCGGTGCGTTGATGGTGGAATTGGAAGAATCTGAAAAAAAAAATTCATGTTAGCGATGCAGACATTATTGTTGTCATAGACAGATACATACTGTATTATTAGAGAGAGAAGTCCCAGATAAATAGGTCGATGTGGTGTCTATTCGGTGCGTTGATGGTGGAATTGGAAGAATCTGAAAAAAAAAAATTCATGTTAGCGATGCAGACATTATTGTTGTCATAGACAGATACATACTGTATTATTAGAGAGAGAAGTCCCAGATAATAGGTCGATGTGGTGTCTATTCGGTGCGTTGATGGTGGAATTGGAAGAATCTGAAAAAAAAAATTCATGTTGTTAGCGATGCAGACATTATTGTTATAGACATACTGTATTATTAGAGAAAGAAGTCCCAGATGAATAGGTCGATGTGGTGTCTATTCGGTGCGTTGATGGTGGAATTGGAAGAATCTGAAAAAAAAAATTCATGTTAGCGATGCAGACATTATTGTGTCATAGACAGATACATACTGTATTATTAGAGAGAGAAGTCCCAGATGAATAGGTCGATGTGGTGTCTATTCGGTGCGTTGATGGTGGAATTGGAAGAATCTGAAAAAAAAAATTCATGTTAGCGATGCAGACATTATTGTTGTCATAGACAGATACATACTGTATTATTAGAGAGAGAAGTCCCAGATGAATAGGTCGATGTGGTGTCTATTCGGTGCGTTGATGGTGGAATTGGAAGAATCTGAAAAAAAAAAATTCATGTTAGCGATGCAGACATTATTGTTGTCATAGACAGATACTACTGTATTATTAGAGAGAGAAGTCCCAGATAAATAGGTCGATGTGGTGTCTATTCGGTGCGTGATGGTGGAATTGGAAGAATCTGAAAAAAAAAAATTCATGTTAGCGATGCAGACATTATTGTTATAGACATACTGTATTATTAGAGAAAGAAGTCCCGATGAATAGGTTGATGTGGTGTCTATTCGGTGCGTTGATGGTGGAATTGGAAGAATCTGAAAAAAAAAATTCATGTTAGCGATGCAGACATTATTGTTGTCATAGACAGATACATACTGTATTATTAGAGAGAGAAGTCCCAGATAAATAGGTCGATGTGGTGTCTATTCGGTGCGTTGATGGTGGAATTGGAAGAATCTGAAAAAAAAAATTCATGTTAGCGATGCAGACATTATTGTTGTCATAGACAGATACATACTGTATTATTAGAGAGAGAAGTCCCAGATAAATAGGTCGATGTGGTGTCTATTCGGTGCGTTGATGGTGGAATTGGAAGAATCTGAAAAAAAAAAATTCATGTTAGCGATGCAGACATTATTGTTATAGACCTACTGTATTATTAGAGAAAGAGGTCGATGTGGTGTCTATTCGGTGCGTTGATGGTGGAATTGGAAGAATCTGAAAAAAAAAAAATTCATGTTAGCGATGCAGACATTATTGTTGTCATAGACAGATACATACTGTATTATTAGAGAGAGAAGTCCCAGATGAATAGGTCGATGTGGTGTCTATTCGGTGCGTTGATGGTGGAATTGGAAGAATCTGAAAAAAAAAAATTCATGTTAGCGATGCAGACATTATTGTTGTCATAGACAGATACATACTGTATTATTAGAGAGAGAAGTCCCAGATGAATAGGTCGATGTGGTGTCTATTCGGTGCGTTGATGGTGGAATTGGAAGAATCTGAAAAAAAAAAATTCATGTTAGCGATGCAGACATTATTGTTGTCATAGACAGATACATACTGTATTATTAGAGAGAGAAGTCCCAGATGAATAGGTCGATGTGGTGTCTATTCGGTGCGTTGATGGTGGAATTGGAAGAATCTGAAAAAAAAATTCATGTTATCGATGCAGACATTATTGTTATAGACATACTGTATTATTAGAGAAAGAAGTCCCGATGAAGAGGTGATGTGGTGTCTATTCGGTGCGTTGATGGTGGAATTGGAAGAATCTGAAAAAAAAAATTCATGTTAGCGATGCAGACATTATTGTTGTCATAGACAGATACATACTGTATTATTAGAGAGAGAAGTCCCAGATGAATAGGTCGATGTGGTGTCTATTCGGTGCGTTGATGGTGGAATTGGAAGAATCTGAAAAAAAAAAATTCATGTTAGCGATGCAGACATTATTGTTGTCATAGACAGACTACGTATTATTAGAGAGAGAAGTCCCCAGATGAATAGGTCGATGTGGTGTCTATTCGGTGCGTTGATGGTGGAATTGGAAGAATCTGAAAAAAAAAAATTCATGTTAGCGATGCAGACATGTTAGCGATGCAGACATTATTGTTGTCATAGACAGATACATACTGTATTATTAGAGAGAGAAGTCCCAGATGAATAGGTCGATGTGGTGTCTATTCGGTGCGTTGATGGTGGAATTGGAAGAATCTGAAAAAAAAAATTCATGTTAGCGATGCAGACATTATTGTTGTCATAGACAGATCATACTGTATTATTAGAGAGAGAAGTCCCAGATGAATAGGTCGATGTGGTGTCTATTCGGTGCGTTGATGGTGGAATTGGAAGAATCTGAAAAAAAAAATTCATGTTAGCGATGCAGACATTATTGTTGTCATAGACAGATACATACTGTATTATTAGAGAGAGAAGTCCCAGATAATAGGTCGATGTGGTGTCTATTCGGTGCGTTGATGGTGGAATTGGAAGAATCTGAAAAAAAAAAAAATTCATGTTAGCGATGCAGACATATTGTTGTCATAGACAGATACATACTGTATTATTAGAGAGAGAAGTCCCCGATGAAGAGGTCGATGTGGTGTCTATTCGGTGCGTTGATGGTGGAATTGGAAGAATCTGAAAAAAAAAATTCATGTTAGCGATGCAGACATTATTGTTGTCATAGACAGATACATACTGTATTATTAGAGAAAGAAGTCCCCGATGAATAGGTTGATGTGGTGTCTATTCGGTGCGTTGATGGTGGAATTGGAAGAATCTGAAAAAAAAAATTCATGTTAGCGATGCAGACATTATTGTTGTCATAGCAGATACATACTGTATTATTAGAGAGAGAAGTCCCAGATGAATAGGTCGATGTGGTGTCTATTCGGTGCGTTGATGGTGGAATTGGAAGAATCTGAAAAAAAAAAATTCATGTTAGCGATGCAGACATTATTGTTATAGACATACTGTATTATTAGAGAAAGAAGTCGATGTGGTGTCTATTCGCTGCGTTGATGGTGGAATTGGAAGAATCTGAAAAAAAAAAATTCATGTTAGCGACGCAGACATTATTGTTGTCATAGACAGATACATACTGTATTATTAGAGAGAGAAGTCCCAGATGAATAGGTCGATGTGGCGTCTATTCGGTGCGTTGATGGTGGAATTGGAAGAATCTGAAAAAAAAAATTCATGTTAGCGATGCAGACATTATTGTTGTCATAGACAGATACATACTGTATTATTAGAGAGAGAAGTCCCAGATAAATAGGTCGATGTGGTGTCTATTCGGTGCGTTGATGGTGGAATTGAAGAAATCTGAAAAAAAAAATTCATGTTAGCGATGCAGACATTATTGTTGTCATAGACAGATCATACTGTATTATTAGAGAGAGAAGTCCCAGATGAATAGGTCGATGTGGTGTCTATTCGGTGCGTTGATGGTGGAATTGGAAGAATCTGAAAAAAAAAATTCATGTTAGCGATGGCAGACATTATTGTTGTCATAGACAGATACATACTGTATTATTAGAGAGAGAAGTCCCAGATAAATAGGTCGATGTGGTGTGCTATTCGGTGCGTTGATGGTGGAATTGGAAGAATCTGAAAAAAAAAAATTCATGTTAGCGATGCAGACATTATTGTTGTCATAGACAGATACATACTGTATTATTAGAGAGAGACTGTATTATTAGAGAGAGAAGTCCCAGATGAATAGGTCGATGTGGTGTCTATTCGGTGCGTTGATGGTGGAATTGGAAGAATCTGAAAAAAAAAAATTCATGTTAGCGATGCAGACATTATTGTTATAGACATTACTGTATTATTAGAGAAAGAAGTCCCGATGAAGAGGTTGATGTGGTGTCTATTCGGTGCGTTGATGGTGGAATTGGAAGAATCTGAAAAAAAAAAATTCATGTTAGCGATGCAGACATTATTGTTGTATAGACAGATACATACTGTATTATTAGAGAGAGAAGTCCCAGATGAATAGGTCGATGTGGTGTCTATTCGGTGCGTTGATGGTGGAATTGGAAGAATCTGAAAAAAAAAATTCATGTTAGCGATGCAGACATTATTGTTATAGACATACTGTATTATTAGAGAAAGAAGTCCCGATGAAGAGGTTGATGTGGTGTCTATTCGGTGCGTTGATGGTGGAATTGGAAGAATCTGAAAAAAAAAATTCATGTTAGCGACGCAGACATTATTGTTGTCATAGACAGATACATACTGTATTATTAGAGAGAAAAGTCCCAGATGAATAGGTCGATGTGGCGTCTATTCGGTGCGTTGATGGTGGAATTGGAAGAATCTGAAAAAAAAAATTCATGTTAGCGACGCAGACATTATGTTGTCATAGACAGATACATACTGTATTATTAGAGAGAAAAGTCCCAGATGAATAGGTCGATGTGGTGTCTATTCGGTGCGTTGATGGTGGAATTGGAAGAATCTGAAAAAAAAAAATCATGTTAGCGATGCAGACATTATTGTTATAGACATACTGTATTATTAGAGAGAAGTCCCAGATGAATAGGTCGATGTGGTGTCTATTCGGTGCGTTGATGGTGGAATTGGAAGAATCTGAAAAAAAAAAATTCATGTTAGCGATGCAGACATTATTGTTGTCATAGACAGATACATACTGTATTATTAGAGAGAGAAGTCCCAGATGAATAGGTCGATGTGGTGTCTATTCGGTGCGTTGATGGTGGAATTGGAAGAATCTGAAAAAAAAAAAATTCATGTTAGCGATGCAGAGATTATTGTTGTCATAGACAGATACATACTGTATTATTAGAGAGAGAAGTCCCAGATGAATAGGTCGATGTGGTGTCTATTCGGTGCGTTGATGGTGGAATTGGAAAAATCTGAAAAAAAAAAAATTCATGTTAGCGATGCAGACATTATTGTTATAGACATACTGTATTATTAGAGAAAAGAAGTCCCCGATGAAGAGGTTGATGTGGTGTCTATTCGGTGCGTTGATGGTGGAATTGGAAGAATCTGAAAAAAAAAATTCATGTTAGCGATGCAGACATTATTGTTATAGACATACTGTATTATTAGAGAGAGAAGTCCCAGATGAAGAGGTCGATGTGGTGTCTATTCGGTGCGTTGATGGTGGAATTGGAAGAATCTGAAAAAAAAAAAATTCATGTTAGCGATGCAGACATTATTGTTGTCATAGACAGATACATACTGTATTATTAGAGAGAGAAGTCCCAGATGAATAGGTCGATGTGGTGTCTATTCGGTGCGTTGATGGTGGAATTGGAAGAATCTGAAAAAAAAAAAATTCATGTTAGCGATGCAGACATTATTGTTGTCATAGACAGATACATACTGTATTATTAGAGAGAGAAGTCCCAGATGAATAGGTCGATGTGGTGTCTATTCGGTGTGCGTTGATGGTGGAATTGGAAGAATCTGAAAAAAAAAAATTCATGTTAGCGATGCAGACATTATTGTTGTCATAGACAGATACATACTGTAATTAGAGAGAGAAGTCCCAGATGAATAGGTCGATGTGGTGTCTATTCGGTGCGTTGATGGTGGAATTGGAAGAATCTGAAAAAAAAAATTCATGTTAGCGATGCAGACATTATTGTTATAGACATACTGTATTATTAGAGAAGAGAGAAAGTCGAATGTGGTGTCTATTCGGTGCGTTGATGGTGGAATTGGAAGAATCTGAAAAAAAAAAATTCATGTTAGCGATGCAGACATTATTGTTGTCATAGACAGATACATACTGTATTATTAGAGAGAGAAGTCCCAGATGAATAGGTCGATGTGGTGTCTATTCGGTGCGTTGATGGTGGAATTGGAAGAATCTGAAAAAAAAAAAATTCATGTTAGCGATGCAGACATTATTGTTGTCATAGACAGATACATACTGTATTATTAGAGAGAGAAGTCCCAGATGAATAGGTCGATGTGGTGTCTATTCGGTGCGTTGATGGTGGAATTGGAAAATCTGAAAAAAAAAATTCATGTTAGCGATGCAGACATTATTGTTATAGACATACTGTATTATTAGAGAAAGAAGTCCCCGATGAAGAGGTTGATGTGGTGTCTATTCGGTGCGTTGATGGTGGAATTGGAAGAATCTGAAAAAAAAAATTCATGTTAGCGACGCAGACATTATTGTTGTCATAGACAGATACATACTGTATTATTAGAGAGAGAAGTCCCAGATGAATAGGTCGATGTGGTGTCTATTCGGTGCGTTGATGGTGGAATTGGAAAGAATCTGAAAAAAAAAAATTCATGTTAGCGATGCAGACATTATTGTTATAGACATACTGTATTATTAGAGAAAGAAGTCGATGTGGTGTCTATTCGCTGCGTTGATGGTGGAATTGGAAGAATCTGAAAAAAAAAAAATTCATGTTAGCGATGCAGACATTATTGTTGTCATAGACAGATACATACTGTATTATTAGAGAGAGAAGTCCCAGATGAATAGGTCGATGTGGTGTCTATTCGGTGCGTTGATGGTGGAATTGGAAGAATCTGAAAAAAAAAAATTCATGTTAGCGATGCAGACATTATTGTTGTCATAGACAGATACATACTGTATTATTAGAGAGAGAAGTCCCAGATAATAGGTCGATGTGGTGTCTATTCGGTGCGTTGATGGTGGAATTGGAAGAATCTGAAAAAAAAAAATTCATGTTAGCGATGCAGACATTATTGTTGTCATAGACAGATACATACTGTATTATTAGAGAGAGAAGTCCCAGATGAATAGGTCGATGTGGTGTCTATTCGGTGCGTTGATGGTGGAATTGGAAGAATCTGAAAAAAAAATTCATGTTAGCGATGCAGACATTATTGTTATAGACATACTGTATTATTAGAGAAAGAAGTCCCCGATGAAGAGGTTGATGTGGTGTCTATTCGGTGCGTTGATGGTGGAATTGGAAGAATCTGAAAAAAAAAAATTCATGTTAGCGATGCAGACATTATTGTTGTCATAGACAGATACATACTGTATTATTAGAGAGAGAAGTCCCAGATGAATAGGTCGATGTGGTGTCTATTCGGTGCGTTGATGGTGGAATTGGAAGAATCTGAAAAAAAAAATTCATGTTAGCGATGCAGACATTATTGTTATAGACATACTGTATTATTAGAGAAAGAAGTCCCCGATGAAGAGGTTGATGTGGTGTCTATTCGGTGCGTTGATGGTGGAATTGGAAGAATCTGATAAAAAAATTCATGTTAGCAATGCAGACATTATTGTTGTCATAGACAGATACATACTGTATTATTAGAGAGAGAAGTCCCAGATGAATAGGTCGATGTGGTGTCTATTCGGTGCGTTGATGGTGGAATTGGAAGAATCTGAAAAAAAAAAATTCATGTTAGCGATGCAGACATTATTGTTGTCATAGACAGATACATACTGTATTATTAGAGAGAGAAGTCCCAGATAAATAGGTCGATGTGGTGTCTATTCGGTGCGTTGATGGTGGAATTGGAAGAATCTGAAAAAAAAAATTCATGTTAGCGATGCAGACATTATTGTTATAGACATACTGTATTATTAGAGAAAAAGTCCCCGATGAAGAGGTCGATGTGGTGTCTATTCGGTGCGTTGATGGTGGAATTGGAAGAATCTGAAAAAAAAAAAATCATGTTAGCGATGCAGACATTATTGTTGTCATAGACAGATACATACTGTATTATTAGAGAGAGAAGTCCCAGATGAATAGGTCGATGTGGTGTCTATTCGGTGCGTTGATGGTGGAATTGGAAGAATCTGAAAAAAAAAAATTCATGTTAGCGATGCAGACATTATTGTTGTCATAGACAGATACATACTGTATTATTAGAGAGAGAAGTCCCAGATGAATAGGTCGATGTGGTGTCTATTCGGTGCGTTGATGGTGGAATTGGAAAAATCTGAAAAAAAAAATTCATGTTAGCGATGCAGACATTATTGTTATAGACATACTGTATTATTAGAGAAAGAAGTCCCCGATGAAGAGGTTGATGTGGTGTCTATTCGGTGCGTTGATGGTGGAATTGGAAGAATCTGAAAAAAAAAATTCATGTTAGCGATGCAGACATTATTGTTATAGACATACTGTATTATTAGAGAAAAAAGTCCCCGATGAAGAGGTTGATGTGGTGTCTATTCGGTGCATTGATGGTGGAATTGGAAGAATCTGAAAAAAAAAAAAAATCATGTTAGCGATGCAGACATTATTGTTGTCATAGACAGATACATACTGTATTATTAGAGAGAGAAGTCCCATAAATAGGTCGATGTGGTGTCTATTCGGTGCGTTGATGGTGGAATTGGAAGAATCTGAAAAAAAAAAATTCATGTTAGCGATGCAGACATTATGTTGTCATAGACAGATACATACTGTATTATTAGAGAGAAGTCCCAGATGAATAGGTCGATGTGGTGTCTATTCGGTGCGTTGATGGTGGAATTGGAAGAATCTGAAAAAAAAAAATTCATGTTAGCGATGCAGACATTATTGTTGTCATAGACAGATACATACTGTATTATTAGAGAGAGAAGTCCCAGATGAATAGGTCGATGTGGTGTCTATTCGGTGCGTTGATGGTGGAATTGGAAGAATCTGAAAAAAAAATTCATGTTAGCGATGCAGACATTATTGTTATAGACATACTGTATTATTAGAGAAAGAAGTCGATGTGGTGTCTATTCGCTGCGTTGATGGTGGAATTGGAAGAATCTGAAAAAAAAAAATTCATGTTAGCGACGCAGACATTATTGTTGTCATAGACAGATACATACTGTATTATTAGAGAGAGAAGTCCCAGATGAATAGGTCGATGTGGTGTCTATTCGGTGCGTTGATGGTGGAATTGGAAGAATCTGAAAAAAAAAAATTCATGTTAGCGATGCAGACATTATTGTTGTCATAGACAGATACATACTGTATTATTAGAGAGAGAAGTCCCCGATGAATAGGTCGATGTGGTGTCTATTCGGTGCGTTGATGGTGGAATTGGAAAAATCTGAAAAAAAAATTCATGTTAGCTGCAGACATTATTGTTATAGACATACTGTATTATTAGAGAGAAGAAGTCCCAGATGAAGAGGTCGATGTGGTGTCTATTCGCTGCGTTGATGGTGGAATTGGAAGAATCTGAAAAAAAAAAATTCATGTTAGCGACGCAGACATTATTGTTGTCATAGACAGATACATACTGTATTATTAGAGAGAGAAGTCCCAGATGAATAGGTCGATGTGGGGTCTATTCGGTGCGTTGATGGTGGAATTGGAAGAATCTGAAAAAAAAAAATTCATGTTAGCGATGCAGACATTATTTTGTATAGACATACTGTATTATTAGAGAAAGAAGTCTATGTGGTGTCTATTCGGTGCGTTGATGGTGGAATTGGAAGAATCTGAAAAAAAAAAAATTCATGTTAGCGATGCAGACATTATTGTTGTCATAGACAGATACATACTGTATTATTAGAGAGAGAAGTCCCAGATGAATAGGTCGATGTGGTGTCTATTCGGTGCGTTGATGGTGGAATTGGAAGAATCTGAAAAAAAAAAAAATTCATGTTAGCGATGCAGACATTATTGTTGTCATAGACAGATACATACTGTATTATTAGAGAGAGAAGTCCCGATGAATAGGTCGATGTGGTGTCTATTCGGTGCGTTGATGGTGGAATTGGAAGAATCTGAAAAAAAAAATTCATGTTAGCGATGCAGACATTATTGTTGTCATAGACAGATACATACTGTATTATTAGAGAGAAGTCCCAGATGAATAGGTCGATGTGGTGTCTATTCGGTGCGTTGATGGTGGAATTGGAAGAATCTGAAAAAAAAATTCATGTTAGCGATGCAGACATTATTGTTGTCATAGACAGATACATACTGTATTATTAGAGAGAGAAGTCCCAGATAATAGGTCGATGTGGTGTCTATTCGGTGCGTTGATGGTGGAATTGGAAGAATCTGAAAAAAAAAAAATTCATGTTAGCGATGCAGACATTATTGTTGTCATAGACATACATACTGTATTATTAGAGAGAGAAGTCCCAGATGAATAGGTCGATGTGGTGTCTATTCGGTGCGTTGATGGTGGAATTGGAAAAATCTGAAAAAAAAAATTCATGTTAGCGATGCAGACATTATTGTTATAGACATACTGTATTATTAGAGAAAGAAGTCCCCGATGAAGAGGTTGATGTGGTGTCTATTCGGTGCGTTGATGGTGGAATTGGAAGAATCTGAAAAAAAAAATTCATGTTAGCGACGTAGACATTATTGTTGTCATAGACAGATACATACTGTATTATTAGAGAGAGAAGTCCCAGATAAATAGGTCGATGTGGTGTCTATTCGGTGCGTTGATGGTGGAATTGGAAGAATCTGAAAAAAAAAAAATCATGTTAGCAATGCAGACATTATTGTTATAGACATACTGTATTATTAGAGAAAGAAGTCGATGTGGTGTCTATTCGCTGCGTTGATGGTGGAATTGGAAGAATCTGAAAAAAAAAAATTCATGTTAGCGACGCAGACATTATTGTTGTCATAGACAGATACATACTGTATTATTAGAGAGAGAAGTCCCAGATAAATAGGTCGATGTGGTGTCTATTCGGTGCGTTGATGGTGGAATTGGAAGAATCTGAAAAAAAAAATTCATGTTAGCGATGCAGACATTATTGTTGTCATAGACAGATACATACTGTATTATTAGAGAGAAAAGTCCCAGATGAATAGGTCGATGTGGCGTCTATTCGGTGCGTTGATGGTGGAATTGGAAGAATCTGAAAAAAAAAATTCATGTTAGCGATGCAGACATTATTGTTGTCATAGACAGATACATACTGTATTATTAGAGAGAGAAGTCCCAGATGAATAGGTCGATGTGGTGTCTATTCGGTGCGTTGATGGTGGAATTGAAAGAATCTGAAAAAAAAAGAGATATTAGAAATGAAGGCATTGCTATTGTTATATAGAAAGATACATACCCAATTATTAGTGAAAGACAGGTCCCTGATGAGGCATTCCGGGCAGTGCACAACGCAAACATTCTGTGTATTACACACGGTATCGAAGAGGTGGAGGCAAACACTTAAGGCATGGGACATGGCAACCAAGAGGGGAAGCAAACATTCTGGGATTGACAAGCAACAGAGAACGAGAGGCAGAGGACCTTTGGATTCATATAAGGCTTCATGACAACTTCAACAACCAAGAACGTAAGACAAACATCTGGCATTGACAAGGTAACTAGCCGAGAGAAGTAAACAATCTAGGCATTGAACAAGCCAAACATTCTGGTATTGGACACGCAACCAAGAGGGAGAGGCAAACATTCTGGGCAATCAAAAACAGGATGACACAAAGCAAGACGTAGCAAAATTTATATTAAACTCATTCAAATAAGGAGGAATTATTAATTCATTCATGAGCAAGACATTCAAACCTGAGGCTTTTTCGTACTGTCTGTCTCCACTGTCTTCAAAATTCACATTAATGTCAGTCACTTCACTTTGTCTTGCACAGTTGGATGAATTTCTACACAGATTATTTATATAAATGAGTTTTCAAGTCGATCCTGAAGCTTCTCCGGGACATTAACAGTTGAATTTTAAAGATCTGAAAAAAAGAAACGTGTTAGTAATTCAAGCATTATTACTTTTACATAGACAGACGCAAATGATATCTTTCAAATCTGTTGAATATTAAAAAAATAATAACATTGCACAATTTGCAATTTGTTGCACAATGCAACATAATGGTTAGGAACTGGCACTGGTAATAATAGCTGAATAACAGCTTTCATTTATCACAAATTTCATTTTCAATTTATTGATTTGTTGAAAGATAAACTAAAAACTAGAAGAATTAACGCGTCAAAATTCCTAAAAATATTTTCGCGCCGAATGTCACTTGTTCAACGCATGTTGCTTTCGGCGTCAAAATCACTAAGCTGTTGCACACTATTCAATTAACATACACAACAAAATCACACTATAACACTGCCGTGAAATATTAAAATACAATCATTTACCGATGAATTTTCCGCTTCAGCATCTTTATCTTCTTTTCCGATGATCACTCTATGACGGCCGGCAAGAGAAAGGACAGATTCCATGTTGCCGCTCCAGTGGTGCGGCTGCAGCGCCATCCATCTGCGCGTCACATGAAACAGACTGTTGACAGTTAGTTCGTCGGTCAATGACAGCCGAGCGGTGCCGGTGGCGGCGGCGCAAAATCAAACTGAATTTAACAAATTATTAAATTCAAAATGACCTGCAAAAATATTTATCAGAATTACGCAGTATGAATATGCAATCAGTTAACTTGTATTGACAAATATATTCGTCAAGGAGAGGTATATTTGAATTTAACAAAAAAAAAAAAAAACAAAAGGACAAATTCTCAATATTTCATATTCAACGAAATTTAACAGATTATTAACAACCCGACATAAAACTTTGTTACTTCATCACACCTTTCATGTATTTCAATTGAATTGTATTTAATTTGTATCTGTACTGTCCGTCGTCTAGAAAATGTTGTCAATGCCTTGAAAATATTGTAAATTGTTGAAAGGTTGTCTAAAAATGTTGTAAATAGTTCAAAAATATTGTAGGCTTCTGAAAATATTTCAAATCAGCTTGAAAATGTTGTAGGTTGTCTGAAAATGTTGTAAATAGTTCAAAAATATTGTAGGCTATCTGAAAATGTTTTAAATCAGCTTGAAAATGTTGTTGTAGATTGTCTGAAAATGTTGTAAATAGTTCAAAAAAATTGTAGGCTATCTGAAAATGTTTTATATCAACTTGAAAATGTTGTAAATAGTCCAAATGTTGTAGGTTGTTTGAAATTTGTGATGGTTGAAAGTGTTGTAGGTTGCCTGAAAATGTTTTAAATAAGCTTGAAAATATGGGAAAATCGTCTTAAAAATGTTGTAAATAGTTCAAAAATGTTGTAGGTTGTTTGAAACTGCTTTAAATCGTCTTGAAAATGTTGTAAATAGTTCAAAAATGTAGGTTATCTGAAACTGCTTTAAATCGTCTTGAAAATATTATAGGGTGTCTGAAAATGTTTCAAATCCTCTTGAAAATGTTGTCAAATATCTCGACATTTATTGATCAACAGAATTCTGTGCCTCGATCAAATTGTGTATCAATTACCATCAATGTCTCCTCAGTTGCATTATGTATGAACTATCTTTTAAAATATTTCATAAACATCATTAGAAATCTTGAATTCTTTAGTACGTTTTTTAAAAGTTAAGTCCAGTATATATATATATATATATATATATATATATATATATATATATTGTATATAATAGTCACAACATTCGAATAATAAAAAAAACTATAATAATATAGAGCATGTAATATTTATATATGTATAAAATAATTAGTTAACAATCTTCACCAGGACGAAAGAGGAGCAGAATTTTTTATCATGTATGTATAAATTTCCTGACCACCCTTAAATCAAATCGAGATAGACATTATTATTGAAGACTCATAGACTACATAAAAAAAATATTTTCAACTATCAACTAGCTTATATATATATACAGGCCTGGTCCTGCCTTGCATGCGATGCATGCAAAAATGCGGGCGCGCGCCTTAGGGGGCGCCAAAACGAGTTTTTGGAAAATAAATTGATAATATATTATTTATAGTTTTTTAT